ACTGTGGCAACCTTGGCCACATAGCAGCGGTTTGTCAAAAATCAGCGAGAAACGTAGAAAAAGGCGAACGTAAATCAAAACAAAACGCTAACATTGACAGTGTAAATTTTTCTTCATTTGAAAACATAAGTTCAGTGGATTTAGTATCAGAAACTGAAAACGAAAGTAATCCACATCATATTGCCGCGGTAGATACAAATGCCCCAAAGGTGTTTGTAAATATTAAAATTAATGATCAGAAATTTCAATTCCAAATTAATACGGGCGCAACTTGCACCCTTATTGGTATTTCTGCATATTCCAAACTAGGAGCACCAACTTGTAGGCCCACAAACAAAATCCTTAAAGCGTACGGAGGTGGAATACTGAATTTGAAAGGTACAATAGATGTGAATGTTCAGAGTGGGGGCATTACGAAAAAGTTATCACTATCTGTTGTCGACTCTGAAACAGCAACGAATATCATTGGCATGGATTGGTTTTGGCAACTAGGTTTTCGGTTAGACACATCAGTGTCAGAGCCCGCATCTAAAGAATGTTATACAACCTCTATTAATTGTGGGGACAGACACTCTCTTCTGTCATCCCTGCAACAAGTCTCAAAACAATATGCAGACGTCTTTTCACCCGGCCTCGGGCTGTGTAGGGTATTTGAAGCAAATATCTTATTGAAAGCAAGTGCAAAGCCAAGGTTTTCTAAACCGTACAATATTCCGTTTGCGCAGACTAAAAAAGTTCGTTGCGAAATAAATCGTCTCGTTGAAATAGGTGTTTTAAAGCCTATTGAGACTTGCGAATGGGCAGTGCCTATAGTGATAGTAAATAAACCAAATGGGCAGCTACGTATATGCGCCGATTTTAAGGTTGGAGTTAACTCGCAGATTGTAGTGGATCGTTCTCCAATACCCAGAATTGAAGACTTGTTTCACAAACTCCAAGGAGGTAGGCATTTCACGAAAATTGACTTAAGAGAAGCATATCTGCAGATTAAACTGTCAGCAAATTCAAAAAAAAGCATGGTAATTAACACACCATTTGGTCTGTATCAATATGAGCGGGTACCTTTTGGAATCGCGAGCGCACCCGGTATGTTTCAACGACTAATGAAAAAGTCATAGCTGGAGTTCCGCACAGCGCAGTATATTTAGACGATATCATCGTTACAGGAGTCGACAATGAAGATCACATACGAAATGTGCATACGCTTTTAAAGCGGCTTCAAACTCATGGCCTAAAGTGCAAGCTCCCTTGAATGAGTTAAGACGAAACAACACAAAGTTTAAGTGGACAAAAAGACAAGAAAACGCATTCCAAACACTTAAGAACGCAGTAGTGAAAGCAACTCAACTTGTGCATTACAATGATTCTTTTCCTTTGGTTCTCGCCGTCGATGCTTCACAATACGGCATAGGCGCTGTCATCTCCCATCGATACGAAGATGGTTCCGAGAAACCCATCGCGCACGCATCAAAAACGTTAACTAGCAATCAAGTAAGATATTCGCAAATTGAAAAGGAAGCGCTAGCCATCATATATGGTGTCACGAAATTCCATCAATATTTATGCGGGCGTCATTTCGAACTCATAACCGATCACCAGGCCCTCACAACGTTATTTCATCCTGAGAAACGACTTCCAGTGATGACGTTACATCGCTTACAGCGGTGGGCAATACTGCTTCAGGCATACGACTACAAGATTCGCTACAAAAAATCTTCGGAAAACGCAAATGCTGACGTTCTTTCCAAACTTCCGGCAGGCGAGGACAAATATTTTGACGAGTCCGAAAAGAAAATGCTAGATGTCGATATAATATACAATACCGCAATTCAAGAATGTCCGCTAGGGGCAAAATGTGTGGCTGACGCTATGAAAAATGATGACGTTCTGCAACATGTCTCGAAGTACATTGTATCTGGTTGGCCAGCGAATCGCGAAGTACCAGGTAATATTAAGCCATTTATTAATCGAAAGCTATGTTTGTCCTTGCAGAGTGGCATTATACTCCTGCAAACAGATTACACTAGAATTGTGATTCCCAAACAACTGCAATCAAAAGTTCTGACTCTTCTTCATGAGGGGCATTGGGGCAAAGAGCGAATGAAGCAGTTGGCTAGACGCTACGTTTGGTTCCCGGGCATTGATAAGCAAATTGAAAATGTGCATGCTACTTGCGCTATCTGTCAAGCAAGCGCAAATTTGCCAAAACAAGAATATTCACCATGGCCAGAACCGTCAGGTCCCTGGGAAAGACTTCATTTGGATTTTGCGGGTCCCTATTTCAACCGTATGTGGTTAATCGTGGTAGATGCTTATTCGAAATTCCCATATACAATAGAATTGGCAGCGGCAACAACTATGACGACAATCGCTGCTGCAACGTATTTTCTCTGTGGAGGGTCTGCCAATAACCCTTGGTACAGACAATGGTACGCAATTCACATCGCGAGAATTTAAAGAGTTCTGCGAGCGTAACGTCATAAAGTATCTCACCACTGCTCCTTTCCATCCAGCGTCAAACGGACTTGCGGAAAGGGGGGTAAGAACTCTTAAAGAGGCTTTCACAAAAATTATGAGAGATGAGCAGCACACTGAGCGGGCCTTGTATAAATACCTATCTACATATCGTGCTACGCCAAATCCAGTTTCAGGCAAATCGCNTTGACTTATGCCAATATTCACGATAAATGTGAGACATTGCCAGTGTTCAGTAGTAAGGGTTGGCTACTTCTGGTTATTTATAAACCTAATCTGCTATATAACTCAAAAACATGAAATTTTGAGTTATGCCGTTATTGCAGAAGACCATCGATGTGTACTCAGTGGCGGATCCAGGTATGGGAAATTGGGTAAATTCGCACAGGTTCAGAAAACAACGAAAATTAATATCATTAAGTTTCTTGAGATTTCTTATTTTTACGATAATTTCCAAAATTTCAAAAACTATCTAAATCCGGGGGATTCTAGAAATTTTGGTAAAATGAGAATATTTTGAAATGTACAAAATTATTGAGATTCTACAAATTTTTATATTTTCCAAAGTTTTTAGAATTTTATTTACCCTAAAATGTAAAAAATGTGAAACATCACAAACTGTCGAAAAATTCGTATGTTCATGGTACTTGTGTGTAAAAATAGAAAATTCTTAGAATTCTAAAAGATATTAGCATTTTTGAAAAATTCCAAAATTTTTTCCACTTTTCGGAACTTTTCCAAAATTTTGTATTGATATAACAAAATTTGATAATTTTAAATTTGTTGAAAATTTTGAAAACATGAACGCCCAAAAATTTTTTGAATCTTCAAGAATTACGAACATTTTTTTAAACTTTCAAAAACGACGAAATATGAAAATATTTTCAACATTCGAAAACTTTTAATTTCGTTTGATCAATTTTGTATATTCGCCAATTTTACTTAGAAAAAGTTTGTTAGAATTCCTACAGTTCTCAAAATTGTTGAAAAATAAAAAATTTCTAGAAATCTAGTATTCATCATTATATTGAATTATAGTGATTTACTAAAATGTCTCAAATTCACAAAGTTTTGACAGTTTAGGAAATTTTGGAATTCCACTCAAGTTATTTAAAATGGGAAACTTCAAAAAATTCAAAACTCTAAAAATTTTAAATTGCGGTGATTTTTAAATTTATATACACGATGTATGTTGAAAAATTTCGCCCCCCCAAGAATTGCTGCTGGGTCCGCCCCTGTATGTACTTGTATGTAATTTCATTTCATTTTATTTCCTAAATCATTAGTACAATAAGATCTGTAGCTTGTTTCTGTAACAATTCTCTACCAAGGCGAATTGAGATATGAATTCGCCGCCCTGTTCTCTACTGCTATTTTCTCTACCAGTAGAGAAATAATCGGTAGAGAAAAGTTACAGAAACGGGCTACTGAGATCTGGATGGTACTATTACCATCTATATCATATTCTAATCTCTATAGATTAGAAATCGGAAACCATCGATAGCAATATCATTTATAAAATGTCGCCAAAAAAGAAGGATGGAGCCTTTCAGGACAAAATTTGTATTTTCCACCGAAATAAACGATGTTTCTACTCTAAAGAATTTTGCGAAACAAGAACATACCTCTTAAACAACAAAAATGATAGTAGAAGGCATACGAGATTTCGCCATCCGCTCGGGATGCGAGAAAAAGTATGCTTAGTACTTTTTGCGGCCTACACGTGCGGGATCTCGCATGCTTCGTCACGCAAGCGAGATTTACGGCACGTGAAGACGGCCGGTAATGCACGGTGTGGAACGTAACAAATCGTTAAAGCCTGTTTACATACAACTTTGGCGGTGCGTTGGCGTTGGCGTAGCTTCGACAGCTAACAGGGAATGCATGAATTTATATGAAAGTCTCCACATAACCAAAGTTAGGCAACGCCAACACCAACACAACGCAGAGAGATGGCCACCTCTCAACTTTTCGCGAGCGTCGTTAGTCAGCTGTTCCAAATAATCAAAATTATGTGATTTAATTTTCCTTTTTAACCAGATGCGGGCAAGGAATATAGTTTTTAAAGCAATTATTGATATACAATTTTGATTAATCTGCCGCTAGTATGTTAATTTAGTGACCAAAGTATTCTAAGCGTTCATTGTAGCAAACACGGGCGTTACTAGCGCTACTGTCAAAGCGACGCCAGACAGGTATAAGTAAAGAACTTAAATAACTAGAAGGGACAACTCGTTATAGTTGTAGCGAAAGTGCGCAACAGGGGCGTGCCTTCTCTTTTGCCCTAGTGCGTTTTTTGATTGGAGGAAAAGAGAAGGCACGCCCCTGTTGTGCACTTTCGCCACAATTATAACGAGTTGTCCCTTCTTGTTATCTACGTTCTTTGGTATAAGTATCAGCGTTGATAATGGCATTTTCCAATTGCGTATGAGAATGTAATCCACATTGTTGTTGTTGCTGTTGTTGTAGCGACTACTACAACCCCGCCCAGAATCCGAATCACGGTTCTCGTGATCGACCAATAGTATCTAGAAGATCTAGACGATTTCACATACCTGCATATTACATATATCGATGGTCCTCTGCAATAACGACACAACTCAAAATTTCATATATTTCAGTAGAGCCAATTAAAGATTTTGTGTTTCGTAATTTAGCAATAATATGTCGTTAGTAATACTGCAAAAGATGCTATGTCACTTATTACCTCTGCTGCTTAATTGATCTGTTATCCGAATCTGATCACTTCTGGCAACCGTTCATCTTCATCAGCCAAAGATAGACAGTTTTGTCATTCGTTTATTAGGGCGTAACGATTTACAGATGCATTCCGGTGCACCTAAGAGACCATCTAAGTGTCAAGGGTACTAATAGACATACACTACGTTTATACGCACGTATTATTTGCAAATGACAATTTGAAAATGGTAAATTTTGCCGTATAAACGCTGAGTTAATTTTTTATTTGCAAATAACTAAATCACGCAAATAAGTATTGATTAGTGGTACTATTTGCAAATAAGCGCAAGGCACCGCCATTCTTAGGTTTATTATCTTTTTCGATGGTCATCTTATTTCATTTTTATAATCAAGACGTTGCCATTTTTAACTTTATTTTCTTCTTCGATGGTTATGNCACGCAAATAAGTATTGATTAGTGGTACTATTTGCAAATAAGCGCAAGGCACCGCCATTCTTAGGTTTATTATCTTTTTCGATGGTCATCTTATTTCATTTTTATAATCAAGACGTTGCCATTTTTAACTTTATTTTCTTCTTCGATGGTTATGTTATTGCTTTTTTATAATCAGGCAATATTAAAAAAGAATTTTTCACCATCGAATAAACAGTGAGTTAGGTATTTGCAAATTATTTTTATTTTGTAGTATCACCGACGTTGTATTGGAACGTAATTATTCCGGAGTAATTGCAGTCACACTGTAGGGGAAATTTTTAATCTTTCAAATTATGACTAAAGATTTANAAATTTTTAATTTTTTAAATTATGACTAAAGATTTAGTAGGTGTAGGACTGCAAAAATACGAAATATATAACAACTCGTATAAAGTTAAACGAAAAAAAAATTCAATTTGTATTGCTGAACAACGGCGCAAAACGAAAAGTGTCGTGATTTCCCACAAAAAATGACAAAATTTCCTACTGAAACTATGAAATGAACAACGGCACAATTCGAAAAGTGTCGTTATTTCACATAAAAGCATGACTAACATATCGAGAGCTATTGACTTATGCCAATATTCACGATAAATGTGAGACATTGCCAGTGTTCAGTAGTAAGGGTTGGCTACTTCTGGTTATTTATAAACCTAATCTGCTATATAACTCAAAAACATGAAATTTTGAGTTATGCCGTTATTGCAGAAGACCATCGATGTGTACTCAGTGGCGGATCCAGGTATGGGAAATTGGGTAAATTCGCACAGGTTCAGAAAACAACGAAAATTAATATCATTAAATTTCTTGAGATTTCTTATTTTTACGATAATTTCCAAAATTTCAAAAACTATCTAAATCCGGGGGATTCTAGAAATTTTGGTAAAATGAGAATATTTTGAAATGTACAAAATTATTGAGATTCTACAAATTTTTATATTTTCCAAA